AGAGAGAGAGAGAGAGAGAGAGAGAAAGAGATAGAGAGAGCTAGAGAGCGTGGCGTGGCAAGCATTATTGCAGGCGACGACATACATGTTTTGTGCGACTCTAAGTCATAACACGCACTGCATTAAGACCCTGCATTGCATTCACTCAACCACGTCGCCGTTTAGCACTGGAAATGCTTAGCACTAAGTACGTATGCTAATAACGCCACAAGTCACAAATCCATTCAACGTAATCCTTTCGCGATTACCCTCCTCCCCCCCTCTATCTTCCCCTGATGACTTCCGCAGTGACCAGGCTGCATTCTAATTTCGCCCTGCACGTACGTGTACACGCGTCCTTTCGATCTAGCCTGTGTGAGTCGCCTGTCAACATCAGGCTGATGTGTATACATCACCAGTACCTATAATCAGACAGCTTATATACGCCGTGCGTACGTCAACTAGCGCTTATTGCGAAACATTAATGGTCGAAGTGTCATGCATGTGCACATGCGTGCGTGCGTGCATGTGGGTCTGTGCGTGTGTGTGTGTGTGTGTGTGTGTGTGTGTGTGTGTGTGTGTGTGTGCGTGCGCTCGTTCGTTCGTGCGTGCGTACGTACGTATGTGTTTGCGCGTGCGTGTGAGTCAGTGTGTCACTGTGCCCGTGTCTGTGCCTGTGCCCGTGTCCGTGTTTGTGTCTGTGCCCGTGCCCGTGTCCGTGTTTGTGTCTGTGTCTGTGCCCGTGCCCGTGTCCGTGTTTGTGTCTGTGCCTGTGTCCGTATCTATGTCCGTGTCTGCTCCCGTGTATGTATGTAATTGAGATACATCACATCGTACGCATGACGCTACTGAACTAATAAAACTTGAGCCATCGCCCGTCTGAGAACACGAAACGTCGTTATATTGTTGTTAACTACTAAAATAGTTTAACAAATCGATCAATATTGCTTTCACGATATAACCAATTTTGGCAAATCAGGCAGACGCTCGTTTTTTCTACGGTTCGATTTTAGATAATATGAGACAACAGCATTATCTGCGAGATACTATGCCGCTCATGTATGACGTTTGAGAAAAATCCTGCTATTCGGACCAAATATACAATAAAAAAGCAGATGAACCTGTTACATATAACCTACTATATACCGGCAGGAGTTAAAACAATCCATGATATAGTGGTTACTATCATTACGTTCATTCAGATCCGACATACTGTCCTCGACCACTGACTCAACCCGTCTTTTGCCGCACCGTCGTGACGGCCATCGGTCGCGATAAAGGGTTTACGCTAGGTGCCAGCACCACTCACCGTGGAACATTGATTTATATAGCGGGCAATATTGATTTTGATTTTATGGCACACAACATGCTATCCACCAATTACAATGCGGCATTTCTTCAAGCCATACCGCAATAGTTTTTGTTTGTTTTATGGCTCGTGACATGCGCTGTACCATATAATGCAAAAATCTTCGCAGCCATATTCCAAACACGTTTAGTATCGTGTTCAATATACGCTGAACGGTAGCAGTGCGTCAAACGGTGGCGCTGCTAACGCGACATGTACGTATCGCTATGTGCGACAAGCAATAAACTTATTTGTTTCGCATAATGGCAAGATTAACGAACAAATGACATGATGATGGCGAGCAGATGCGATGTCAGCTTGCTTTTGGTTTTTTGTTTTATGTTTTTTGTTCTCTCTCGCTTCGAGCCGACGCATGGTTGTTGTTTAGCAAAACCATCAGGTACGGGCATATCTAAATAATTGGGAATTATATATATACTAATTGACCATCCGGTATACAGTTCCGGCCGTCGACAAAGATAGTGATGAAGCTCGTATATGTATTGCTGTAGTAATTGCTATGGGAACGCACCGGTCCTGGCCCTCATATAACCCTGCAACATGTCCCATTAACATGGCATGGCAAACATGCTTTTAACGCACAATGGGGAATTTTATTGGGAAGTTATTTTATGAATGCCGCGCGCAATCGAGGAAAAATATTTGAATTTACCGTTACATCTACCACAAAAATGAGAGGATATAATAATTTACTTTGTGTAACACAAACAAAATATTTGTGTGTGTAACAAAAGCAAACTTGTTTTTCGCAAAAACGAACATCGCCCAGTTTCCGAGTCTGTAAACGCACGACTATATACGATATATTGTCAGTAACGGCTAGTTAAATAGATAGGTACACGAACAGCTTATGTGTGTGCGTGCTTGCGTGTGGGTGCGATGCGCGCGCGCGCGCGTGTGTGTGTGTTTTGCGTGTGTGTGGTTTGTGTGTGCGCGGGCGTCTGTGTGTGCGTGCGCGTGTGTATCTGCGTGTGCGTGTTCATATATATGTGCACGCGTGTGTGTGTGCGTGGGTGTGGCGTGTGCGTGTACGTACATGTGTGCGTGTGCGTTTGCATGTGCGTGTGCGTTTGCATGTGCGTGTGTGTGCGTGCGTGTGCGTGTGTGAGTGCCAGCGCTTGTGTGTGTTTGTATGTCTGCGCGCGAGGCAATGTACGTGCGTGCGTGAGCGTGCGTGAGTGCGTGTGCGTGCGCGTTGTCCCTCGGCTCTGGGTCCTTGCTGTCTCGGCAGGCTGTAGGTGCATGTGAGCGTGTGCGTGCGTGAGCGTGTGTGCGTGTGCGTATGCGTGCGCAAACGTGTGTGTGTGTGTGCGTGTGCGTGCGTGCGTGAGTGCGTAAGCGTGCGTGCGTGCGTGAGCGTGCGTGTGTGCGTACGTGCGTGCGTGTGCGTGCGCGTTGTCCGTCGGCTCTGGGTCCTTGCTGTCTCGGCAGGCTGTAGGTGCATGTGAGCGTGCGTGTGCGTGCGTGTGCGTACGTGCGTGCGTGAGCGTGCGCGTTGTCCGTCGGCTCTGGGTCCTTGCTGTCTCGGCAGGCTGTAGGTGTGAGCGGCTTTCTGATCGTCGGCTGAGTTTTAATCGTCGCGGAGAAATGCTGCGGTCATTAGCGACGGATGCAGCGGCTGTGTCTGACCGTCAGTCATCTACGAGTAGTTAGTGTCGCTCGTTATTTCCAGCTCGCAGTTCGAGGCGGTAAAAAAAAACTGTTAATATATTATCCTACATGCGAGAGCAGGTATATGTTGAAGAAATGCATTAAAATCCATTCGC